AGCCGTCATGGAGGCTCACGGGACAGGCACCCAGATTGGCGATGCCGCTGAGTATGCCAGTGTTAAACAATGCGTCGTTGGCTCGTCTCGAACCAACAATCTGATACTTGGATCTGCAAAGGGGCATGTAGGACATGCTGAGGGTACCTCCGGTATTGTGTCCTTGATCAAAATTCTCACCATGATACAGGACGATTATATCCCTCAGCAAGCCAGCTTCACAAAGATGTCGCCCCATCTCAAATCCACCGGCGCGGATATGATCGAGGTGTCTACGTCGATCCGAAAATGGCCAGATGGGCCCCGCACAGCACTCATCAGCAACTATGGTGCCACAGGGTCGAACGCCGCGATGATCCTCACTGCCCCGCAAAGAAAAGAGCCCACTCTTCATCCCGAATTCGCTGTTCCGTTCTGGATTTCTGGCTTTGACGAGGAAAGCATAACCAGATACTGCGCGAAATTAAACGACTATCTCCAATCCAAACCCAATGCTACCCCTTGGGATATTTCTTACCACCTCAACCTGCAGTCCAACCGCGCCTTGCCTCAACGAGTTCTGTTCACTTGCCAGACGCGAAAAGAACTGGAAGAGAAGCTCCGGGAACTGACAAACGGCGCGCTTCAGGCACAAATAATTCCTTTACGAGAAGAAAGGCCTGTAGTTCTCTGCTTCGGTGGTCAGACAAACTCTTACATTGCGCTTCAACGCTCGGTCTATGATAGTGTGAAGCTCCTTCGCCACTATCTTGACGACTGCGACGCCGCTATTCAGGCCGCTGGGGATACTAGCATCTACCCCGACATCTTCTCCACTTCGCCAATAACAGATCAGTCTCATTTGCAAGCCATGCTATTCGCCATTCAGTACTCCTCCGCCCGTTGTTGGCTGGACTGCGGCTTGTCAAGCAGAGTTGTTGCAGTTGTCGGGCACAGCTTCGGGGAGCTGACCGCACTCTGTATTTCGGGAGCGTTGTCAATGAAAGACACTGTCAAATTGGTCATTGCCCGGGCAAGGTTAGTGCGCGATGCGTGGGGCCAGGATCCTGGGGCCATGCTTGTTGTTGATGGAGACGAGAATCTGGTAAACCTTGTCCTTGAGGAGGCGAATGAAAATTACAAGGGCTCTTTCCCAGCCAGCATTGCTTGCTACAATGGTCCGCACCATTTCACCTTAGCGGGATCTACTGAGGCCATTGACTCTGTCACCTCCATTTGTGAGTCCATGCCAGGAATTAAGCACAAGAGGACTGCTGTCACCAACGCCTTCCACTCAACGCTTGTCCAGCCCCTCCAGGAACAGCTGGAAAAGCTGGCCAAATCCTTTACTCTAAAGCAGCCTGTTATTCGCCATGAAAGAGCCACAGAGTGTCAAAGGGCTATGCCTTTTAACGTATGGGACCATATGAGGCAACCCGTCTATTTCAGACATGCCATTGAACGCCTCGCTCAAGAATATCCATCTTGCGTGTGGCTAGAGGCAGGGTCTGGGTCTGGAGTTACCTCCATGGCTAGCCGGTCTTGTTCATCTTCTCACTCCTTCCACTCGCTCAATATTTCTGACCCAAGAAGAGGCACTGAAGGTCTTGTGGCTGCGACATTGTCACTTTGGAAGAATGATATCCCTGTCACATTCTGGGGTCATCACCACTTCCAGGACTCTGATGTCATTCCATTATCTTTACCACCCTATCAGTTCAAGAAAACCCGACACTGGCTGGAATACAGAGACCGTGCGTCTGGTCCTCAAGGCAGGCAAGGGCCGGAAATTGGTGACCTTCTTTCTCTTGTGCAGGACCGAAGCTCCGACTCCCAGCCCATCTTTGCTATTGACACTGAATCAAACTATTACCATGAAATGATCAATGGCCATGTGCTGGGGAAACTGGCCCCTGTTCTCCCTGTTTCTGCACAGATTGGTCTGGTTGTTGTGGCCTTGTATAGTCTGCACCCAGAATGGACGAAGAGCCGCTTCCCTTATTCTGTCCATGACATGGTCAGTCAGACTTACATCTGTGTTGACCCTTCACGCAAGTTCTGGCTGGAATTCTCTGCATCAGGCGAGAGTAAGCTTGAGTGGGACTGGGCTCTCACCAGTACAGATAAGGCTCAGACGGAGGCCAGCAGGTTGGTGCATGTTGAGGCGAGCTTGCACATCCACCCCCCTCAAGATACTATGTATAACACTGAATTTGATGCTTTGGAGCGCAGTGTTTCGCATCAAGAATGCAAGGAGCTTCTTGGTGGTGATCTGGATGACGATGATGAAGTTCATGTTGTCCAAGGGCAAGCTGTGTACCAAGTGATTGACAACATGGTATCCTACGGGGACTTCTACCGCTGGACGAAACGCATTGTGGGTCGGAATGGTGTCGCAGCTGGTGTTGTGCGGAAACCAATCAGTCAGTCGTATGATCCTGGACTGGGTGATGCATTCTGCCAAGTCGGTGCTATTGCAATCAACTGCATGGCCGAAGCCATCTCACCAAATAATATCTGGGCTCACAAAGAATGCGGTAAAACGCTGCTCTCCCCAACCTACACTGGAAGCTCAGAGAAATGGCACGTTCTTGTATACCATCGAGCCAAGACAAGCCGCATCCGTGAGATGGATATTTATGTTTTCGATCCCGCCAACGGTCAACTGACACAGGCGTACGTTGGGGCGCAAGCTGTGCAGGTTCCAAAAATGCTTTGGGAGAACATTCTCATATCGCTCACCACGGAGAAATGCACACTTCAAGGGGCTCGAAATGATCCTAGTACTGCAGTTCCAGAGAACGGGATCACCGACCAGTCCACAGCCCAAGTGCAAAGGACAATTTCACCATATAGCTATGACACTGTGTTGGCAGAGCTTAGGAGTATTGTTTCCAAAATATTGGGGTTACCTATAGAGGAAATAAAACCGGACTCTCAGCTGGCTGACCTGGGTATGGATTCCCTGATGGGTGTTGAGATGGGTTCTGATATTGAGACCGTTTTCAAGTGTTCGCCTGATCAAGAAGAGATGATGGGGGTTACGAGTGTGGAGGAGCTTAGTACCGTCATTTGGAATACACTTCAACAAGGAAACAGTTCGGAGTCTTCCTGCACAGAAGATGAAAACAGCAGTTCTCAGAGCAGCGTGTCATCAGTTGACGATTCGATGCCATACAATAGAGGTGATATCAAAAAGCGCCAGGATCTGGCCCAGGGTTTCGTCGACAGATACTCTGCCAATTTCACTGCTCCTTCTCCATCTTCCGATGCCGCGAGCTGGAATGGCTCCAAAACGGCAGTGGTCATCGTGACGGGTGCAACAGGTAGCTTGGGATCGCACCTCACTGCTAAGCTTGCTGAAAGTCCTGCTGTTGCAACTGTCGTATGTCTCAACCGGCCTAGCAGATCAAGCTCTGCAGTGAGCCGTCAGCAAGATTCATTCTCTGCAAAAGGCATTGAGATATCCGACGAGAGCTTCAAGAAACTACGCGTTTTAGAATGCACAATATCCGAGTCTAAACTCGGACTATCTGATGAGGATTATGACTGGCTCGTCCAAAACGGTACCGATATTATGCACTGCGCTTTCCCACTGAGTCCGACTGAAACCGTAAGGGGATTCGAGCCCCAATACGTCGCTATGCGCAACTTAATTGACCTTGCACGAGATATTGCTAGTGCTCAATGCAGCCACAGCGACCAGCGTCGTCGCGTTGGCTTTCAATTCGTTTCATCCATCAGTGTGGTTGGTTTTGCCAAGAACCACCCTGTTTCCGAGGCACTTCGAGGAATCGAGTGCGCACAGCCGATAGGATACTCAGAAGCGAAGTGGGTGTGCGAACATATGCTTGAGGCGACTCTGCGTCAACACCCTGACTTCTTCCGAGCGATGTCAGTACGTTGTGGTCAGATTGGAGGTTCCAGCACATCTGGATTCTTCAATAAGAACGAACACGTGCCTTTCATGATCAAGTCAGCTCAGAGCCTCCGTGCTTGGCCCGATCTTGCTGGTCATGTCCTGTGGGTTCCTGTTGATCAGGTGGCTACAGTAATGGTGGAGCTCATCCACGTTGACGATGCCATCGAAGATACCTCCATTCCCAACACGGTCTATCATATTGAAAACCCCGCTGGCAGAGCTTGGAAGGACTACATACCGGTGATTATCAAGGAGCTTGGTATACCTGCAGATAGGGTCATCCCCGTTGGAGAATGGGTCAAGGAGGTAAAGGCCTCTAAGTTGGATCGGGCATCCAACCCAGCCGCCCTCTTTGGTGACTTCTACTCTGGCTACTATGTGCCTTTGATGTGTGGTATGGTTCTTGACTCAGCTGAGAGCAGAACGAATTCGAAGACAATGGCAAAGATGGATCCTATTAGCGATGACACGATGAAATTGTATATCGACGGGTGGAAGAAGAGCGGATTTCTTAAGACATGATTTATATGTGCGTTGGCTCAACCTCCTTCGCCATGTCTGAAAATAACTGTTCCAAGTCGTCATTCCCGGACAATGCAGCAAGCAAGCAGTATATTGCCTCTCTGGACGCAGCAGATTCATTGGCTTCATTCCGTGATCATTCATAATCTTTTCTAAAGCAAACATAGCCTGAAAGAAGCCCGCTAATCGAAGTAAGGGTTTTCCTGCTCATTCCGTCATTTTGATGGGGTACAATACTGGTTTGTTCATAGAGAAGTCCCTGACTCGGGCTTTCAAGAGATTAAATGTCCATTTTCTTCGTATCTGGGTTTTTCCCTCTATATTGGGCGGCAGGCTTGAAAGCCGATATACTGATTTCGATTTGTTCCTACATCACCTTTGTAATGGTGTGCTTTCATGCAGCCTTGGAAAGTACCCCTGATGATGGCTCATTAGAGGCAACACTAAGTTTGAGAGAGTATGGAGGAGGGAAAAGAAGTCTGTGAAGAACTTCTATTGATTTTAGATGTCTTTAAGGTCATTTCAGCTTTACCTGAAAGGCCGTAAGCTACTAGTCATCTCAGCTGGTCGACATCAGTTATAATTTCATCTTGATAGCGGTGGCAAGGTGGACCTCAAGCTTGTGATCCTTATCCCATCCCAACCCGTCGGTCATCCCATCAGCGGCACCTCGATTCAGCCCTCTCAAGAGTTTCCGTTCGCTATCGCTGATTCCTTCGGCCCCTTCAAAGTGGTCACCGGCGTTGTTCCACACAAACTTTGGGGTGCTGAGGGCGCTATTCAACTCCCAGTGCTGCTGTGATGCTCGTCTTTTGTTCGAGAGAACTCCGGCATTGTTAACAAGAACCAGCTTTTGGGTATTTCGATGGAATGTGTGCTGGAATAGCTCGCTAAGAAATGAATCTTTTGTTTCGCCGATCAGACGTGACACTGCAAGACGCATAGGGGCAGGTTCGGTGCAGCTGATGGCAATATTCTCAAATCCTCTTTCAGAAAGGATAACGTTGACTGGCTCCCAGAAAAAGTCCCTGAATTGATCTTCGGATATAAACAATGTATCAAGCTTTGGATTGAAAGACCGTCTGAAGACGATCGACTTCTTGACTGTGACATGGGCGTTGATACCCTGGCTCTTCATCGAACTGAGTGTAACTCGGAATGCTTCCCGATTAACTGATAGGATTGGAACTTCAAAGTCGATGCTTAGCAAACGATGGTTGAACCTGACATCCACTCCCGTCTTGCCCACATTTTCCAGTGTCCAACAACCCGCCCTGTAGAAGTACAGAGGACGTACGAACTTCGGCAAGGTCTCTTCCCAGATCTGCACGCGGAGCTCAGCAGGGAGGCGAGAAAAGAGAGGGAAGTCGACAGCTCGTGCCGCCATGATTATTGAAATGGTTCGACGGTCGGGTTGAAGAAGAAGGGCTGTTCGAGGTGGTGAATTGTTGCTTCAGACAAGCTGTAATAGATAGAAGCTCCAATGGAGGCTCGGTCTGCCAACAATGAGAATGACTTTAGGGTCCGGGTAAACGGTGGTCTGTGTTGTTGCTATCCTAGGTGAGAATGTGAAAGAATACAGTATCAGGCGTAACTCATGAAGGAACCTGTGATTACAACAATTATCGGTCGCCGTGGAGATAGGGTACTGGTTACTCCACTGACAAGTCTTTAGTAACGGCCTCATTCACTAGTACTTGTCACTATATCTGGTCAGTCTTACACCTCCTTAACACATGTCTAGTCAGTGTTACGTGAAAGGATAATCCGCTGGAGGACGAACAGTTTAAGATAATGATTCACATGTTTAGGTATATCTACAGGAAGCGACTGGGTAATCAAAGCCCCATTCTTGCCGCCTCAGCTCGAACAATGTCCGGCAACTCCTCGATTAAACTTCTCTCCTGTAACCTCCAGCCAAGGAGTTTCTTCGCTCGCACCGACCCTTCCCTTAAGTTTCACCCCAAACGGCAGCCTCAAGCCCAGCCGAAGATTTGAAAGCCTGATCGATTGACTAGCCTCGAAGCTCAGGCGCGTCGACCTGCACGCATCTTCGTATGAAAGCTTCCTCGCCAACATCAAAGGCAAAACGACATGTCCTTTCACTATACGGCATCTGATCAAGACCTCTGCTATGTCCACGAAGCACTTGCAGCTACTGGACGAAGTCATCGCTTTTATTAGAATTTTGCCCATATAAGTCTGCTTACAATCTCAAACAAGTACATACGACCACAGGGTGTGGAAAACAGGGCTTCCCGTCCGCTCAGCCGTACTTAAGCCACACGCCGGGAGGTTAGTAGTTGGGTGGGTGACCACCAGCGAATCCCTTCTGTTGTATGTTTTTGGCTTTTTCTTTTCTCGAAATTTCTTGCACTGTGAAGGCATCTGGTGGGATGTGCTGTCCAGATGAAACCGGGATACAGATCCCTACACATCAAAAACACCCCCTCTCGTCTGCGGCTTCAACAACCCCAACATAATCTGCTTCGACCTCCAAGCCGCCCATTCATCTACGGGCCTTGTTTCCTCCACTTCTCCCTCAGCTAACGCCGGTATCTTCCCTCCACGAATTCTCCGCATGGACGCCGACTTCGCCGGCCTCACCAAATACGCCATACTCCGCCTCGGCACGAATGCCTGCTCCCCGGGAGCAGCTAGAACCCTATGCAAGGAACTTCGCAGTAGCTGACCGGTCCATTCAACCAGCGTATCCCCAATATTGACCAACGCACAACCTGGCAGGGGCTTAACAAAACGCCAATTCTCCATATTATTCTCGAGCCCCGCGGGGAGGATCTGCAGGCCACCGATAACGTGGAATAGCAGCGTCAATGTGCCGATATCCGTGTGTCCGCCTAACGAGATGCGATCGCGTTCCGCATCACCGGATGTGTGGGGAGGACTGCATAGCAAGCGGACAGAGGTCTCGGACTCGTGATCCAGTGGACCAAGTTTGCTTAGTGTATCGCGCTCGAGGCCAAGCTGCTTGTCCAAGGTTGTAAGAATTACATCCAAGGCCGACGAAGCGTGGCGGATGAACGCCTGGATCTGGGGTCTGTGCGCCTCGATCGGGGGCGCGTTGGTGCGGGGAGGACGGTTACCCAAGATATCGTCCTGGTTTATGGAGTAGAGGTGCATGTGATCGAGCTTGCCGTCGTCGGTTTTTAGTGCGCCCATCCGTTTATAGCCTGTTAAGTCTTTGGGCGCGTTGTAGGCGTATTGGTCGAGTGTTGACTGGTCGAGCGAGAAGAGTTCGGTATCGAGATCGAACATAGATTCTGCATCGTGAAGGAGAGTCCTGCCGTCTGCGGAGTCGTGTAGGTCGAGAAGGAAGAACCCCCATTCGCGGCAGGCGGCAAATAATTTCTCTGCTTCGATTGGGTTGCCAGACTGTAGTCGAGAAAATGTGAAAATGGGAAGGTTAATGGTCGGTGTATTAGCCGGAAAGGGGGGAGCCTGAGCGAAGTATCGAGCGGTCGGCATTGCTGGAATTTGCTATGTGTTAGAGTTGTTTATATAAAGAATCTGGTATCGCGTTGGGATTAGTTTGGGAGAGCGGGATTCTCAGATGATATACACCGCTACAGAGGAATATATTCGAGGTTGGGTCATGATACGTCTTGGTGAAATTGGAGAAATAGGTATGAGGGAAGAGACTGACTTATTTATCCTGTTACAGGGAGGTTTATAATTAGTGCTTATGTTCTTGCTTCTCCCGCGTAGGATCTGGTCATAATGCTATTGGCACCCGCGATGGCAAGTTCTTGGCCAAAATGCTTTTCCAAATATGCTATGACAATAACCATGTAGCCACGCATGGATTGACTGAAATCAAGAGGGGGTGCCACATATGATAGTTAAAATCCATAAATTCAGTCGTAATCTTGATCAGTTAGCAGTCATGTACCTCGAACCACGCTATGTCTTTCATTGCGAGATCAAATTGGTACGCTTGAGCAGGTGCAGGCGCTTCCTTGACACTCGGGTGTTGCTGCGAGGCAACAAATAGAACAGCTTCGAGCTTCTCAGAAAGAACTGTAGACAGCCATACGTCGGGGGAGCCTGGGGCATTTGAAGATCTAATAGAACAGGCCGGGCGTTAGGTTCTATCTGGAAGTATGTAATTCGATGGGTCAAAGATTGTGGGGCCTTCGAGGTGCTATCCAGGCTTCCAAACAGGCGTTAGTGTGTTTGAGTCGGTTCTCGAATGAGATCAAGGACGGAATTTGAAAGTGTTATTCTATAGATAGAAGTCAACCTTAGAATTACCTTGAGTACTAGGAGGTTGCACAGGCAACATGGGATGTCGCGCTTCGCGATATTTAGAAATACCTTTTGGAATTTATGCCGCTTGTTAGAGCGTTATATCATGTGGATGTCTAGATGGTTGATGAATCCTCAAGTTGGCTCAATGGTATGGACTCGAATCCCGGCTGATACAACCTGTAACAATTAACTGACTCGACGGGGCAATCAGAGGGTGCCAACTGTGCAGACCCATATCTAATTGATGTGTTTCTATAGACAAATGCTGCGTCCATTCTGTTCTTCAGGCATCCGTACTATTCAGGAAATAATAATATCATGTATATATCTATCATATATAAAGGAGATATTTTCCGTACTCAAAAAGCCCAAAGAATATATCGTTCACGGAACTAACATATAGCTTTAGGCAGTGATATCGTGAGCAGATATAACCGTTGCAAAAGCATCTTCCAGCTCGCTTAAAGCCACATCCTTCAAAGTTGCAGCCTCTACACCAGGGATGTTCCGATCTCCCACCGCATCACGCACAACCACAACCTCATAACCTAGTTCATTGCCAGCCCTGGCAGTCGTAGAGACACACACGTGCGCCATATAGCCGACTAGTACAATCTTTTTTCCAACATCTCCAAGACTGCTCAAGTACTCATGCAATTCGGTCTGGGCAAAAGAGCTAGGGAAGTTCTTTGTGATCAACTTCTCCCCAGACACAGGAGCGAGTTCTTCAAATTCCCTTTCTAGGTGCGTGCCCGGAGTGAAGACGGGAGCACCTGGTGGGGTCTGGTGAACAATGTGGACAATGTTGCGACCGCTGTGAGTACGGTTGGTGCGATACTTGGTCAGAAGGTCCGAGATTACTTTGCGGCTGTCGAATACACCCTCAATCTGGAGGTTGCCACATGCGTATTCGTCTTGAGCGTCGATGATAATCAGGGTGGAGTCTTGGACTGATGCGGTTGAGGGGGGTGCACCAAGAAGTTGGCGCAGGGATTTTGCTGAGGAGGATGAAGACATTATGATGAACAGTACTGTTAATCAAGGTTCAATTGTGGATGTTGATCGTTACTTTAGTACTGCAAAGCAGAAAGCTGATTATATCTGATATATGGAAGGGAAAGAGAATCTGAAGTTACCGTAGAAAATGCAGATAAGGAAGACTTATTTATACACAGACACGGCTTATTATATTACTCAATATTCCTCACTTCAAGAGGCGGGGTAGATGAAAAGGAAGTCTCATTCTGGTGTTGTGGATGACTGGATCAGCCTAGAAGCAGAAAGTGGCGAACCGAGCCACTTGTTTATGCGTCTCGATTTCTTGGCGGAATATACTTCCTCTTGGGGTTAGATCAAACATGGTGGGTCAGCTGATTCTATTTTGTAGAGTCTCTTCCAACAGACGCATTTCGGCTTCTTGTGCGGACGGCACCGATAAAGACAGACGAATAGAAATCAAGGATATAATCGGTTTTGAGAGTCTGATTGTGGGCATTGCTAAATAATCACAGCCCAGTAATTTCGCGGTGAGGTTGTAGTGCTACTGTGTACTCGTTGCAACGATCTTCTGTAGTAGATCCGAGAACTTTTGCATGGCTACCCATTTGCCTAGGCTTCCATATCGTCTACATGATCGCTGAGAATCGGCCCATCTGGATAAGGAACTCTTTCTGAAAATGTCGGTCATCATCTATAATCAGTTGTGAAGCCGCTATGCTGCATTCCACCGGCAATACATCCTCAGGCCGAATATTTGTCACTACTTAGGTAATAGCTGACATATCCTGAGCAGCCCAATGAACCGAGAAGTTGCCTTCGCCTGGATCAAACATCCTACATACTAATCTCACTGAGTATTGTCGTCTGGCCTCTTCCACAAGGACCTCTAGTCGACTATTTTCTATCTACTGGACCAAGTCGGATGCTTACTATCAAGGTCACTGCTGCTGGAGCATGCAATGAGGGTCAGGCAACGGTCAGTTTGCCAGAACTGCCGATCTAAGAAGCTCGGTGTACGTGGGCTACCACTCCACTTTGAAAGGCAGGAAGCTCATGTCATGCATAGTGTGATGGAAAGTTGCCTGAGTGTAGTCAGTGTCTATTAACAGGACGCCAATGTCCAGGGTACCCAGCCAAATGGTCCTTCGTACAGAGCCAATCAAAACCCGCCCAGAGCAGAAGATTGCCATCCAACGTATCAAACCAGGTTCTCAGCTCCCAAGAAATTGTATCGAATGATTCGCATTTAGAGGACTTTGCTTGTCAGCCATCTAACGAAATCAGTCTGCACCAAACGCGAGGCGCAGCCTGTAAATTGCGTCGCGCCGAGAAGGTTGATCTCATTATACGGAGCTACGTGCCCGATGAAGAATTATTCCCCCCTGACCTTATTTCTAATGAGCCACGGCCTCGCATATGTGGATCATGGGTCGAAGTTCTTCCAGCTATGAGTGAAAATCCTGACTCCGATATCATTCTGGCTGCCGCGAACGCTCTGTCAACCTCAATCATGTCTCGGAGGCTTTCAGAAAGGGCCTCTAGTATCAACAGCACACGTAGCTACCTTACCGCTCTCCAAATGATGCGAGAGGAGCTCGGTACGGCAAAAAAATCGTCAGATCGAGAGCTACTGGCATCAATAATGTGCCTCAGCTTGGCAGAAGTTAGTTCTGCTCCGGTATCTCGCTTTAATGAGCGCTTTGCTTATGATGCTTAGGTTATGTTTCCAGGCCCAACCGAAGGTTTAAAGATGCACATCAATGCCGTGGCACGAATACTTCAGGCTAATGGGCCGCAGCGCTATCAAACTGGAGTTTCCCACAGGCTATTTATTGGCTTCCGCCCTTTATTGGTGAGTAAAAATCACAGTGTTGAGGGTTCTGCTAATGTCTTGTAGATGATAAACGCAATTCAATGCCGGACTCCGTCTTTTCTGGGCTCAGACAATTGGAAGATGATTCCATTTGCAATATTTAGGCCATCCCCGATGCAAAGCCTTCTCAGCCAGGCCGCTGCCCTTCCATTGATTCTGCATAGAATTGACAACATATCTGGTCGAGAAGCCTCCATTGGAGATCAAACTGAAGCTACCTCTATATTGAACAGCGTTGGTGACTTGCTGAACAGCCTAAATGAATGGGAGGCGTCTGAAGCAAACAATGCGACGTCTCCCCTTTACTGGTACCGAGATCAGAGCACAAAGGCTTCGGAAATCCCCTGTATCTGGTTTCCCGGTATCACTATGGCCAACGCGATTACCTATATCTGGGCGTTTCGCATCATATGTCTTTACGAGATGGAACGTCTTGCGTCTTCCCTCCCGCAGGCTAACTTTGACTACTGGAGGATTCTGAAGGAACACCACATTGAAAGTGTCCAGAAAAGTTCTGCGAACCTGCTGAGGCAGATATGCGAAAGCATGGAGTATCTTCTTCAAGAAGAAATGAAGCTCTTCGGTCCTGCTTCTACAATCCTACCTCTTCAGGTGGCCTACGCGGTAGCCACAACGAATGGTAATCAGCACAACTTGGAATTAGCTGTCCTGAAGAAGGTTGTCGACCGGCTAGTCTGCAAAGGTCTTCAATCGTTTCCGATCATGATATTCGAAAGGAACTCTTTCTTGCACAGATGGGATAGATTATAAGATAGGTAATTCACAAGATTGATGGGTGGGTGATTACATAGATAACACAGTAACATGAAACTCTAGTATCTGTGACCCGCATCCACAGACTAGAAGTGCCCAACGAGGACAAGATTTCGCAGGTGAATGAATGTGCGAATGAATAAGACTTGGCTCTGACCGATGATTAACTGGAAGCTTGTGACAGTCCAGTTCACTACCACGTGGACGTGAATCTCCCAAAGCAGTCATGTATCCTCTCCTATCCTCACAGTTCCTCTATTATTAAGGGAACAATTATCACAGAAGCAAAGTCAAGTAGCCTATACAAGCCACGTCATCTCGGGAAACCAAAGAAATAGCACCTTCAACTTGCTCAAACTACCTAAACTTCAAACTATCAAACAGAAACACCCCAAAATGAACATCATCCACCACCAAAACCACCTCTCCATCACCACTGCCCTCTCCCACCTCACCACACCCACTCCATCCTACTCCGTCCGCCGCATTCGAGCCGAATACCTCGCCGCCACAAAAAACGGGCCAACATCCCCACAATGCGACTTCCTCTCCTTTCGCCCATTCAGCCCCGACCACCTCTTCGATATCATCGGCACGATAGCCGGTCCAGTCGGCTCTCCCTATGAAGGGGGTATTTTTCACATCCATATTCGCATCCCAGCATTGTACCCGGATCTACCGCCGATATGCACTTTCATGACGAAGATCTGGCATCCGAATGTTGGCCCATACGGGGAAGTTTGTTTGAATATCCTGCAAGATGAGTGGAGCCAGGCACTTTCTGTGAGGACTGTTTTGTTATCGATTTCTGCTATGTTGGGGGATCCGGGAATGGCAGTGGAAGGTGGTAATGCTGTGTATGGCTTTGCGAATGTGGAGGCGGGGAGCATGTGGATGGGTAATCCGGGAGTGTTTGAGATGGCTGCGAGAGACTGGACGAGGATGTATGCCTAAGGAGGGATTTGGGAGATTGATTCTTTGGTGGGTTGGCATTGGTGTGGAAATGGCTGGGGAGGCATATCGTCATATTGACCAGGCTCTGTGTACACTTGCATTTGCTCATGCAACAATGTTCTCTTCACAAAGCCCTTCAGCAGAAATTCTCACCAGTCTCAAAACCTTCAACGAAATCAAATCAATTACCTGATAGAGGGGAAGGGCCTTGTACAGCCATTTACGTATTCGAACCTTCAGCAAAGAAATATCACCGGTGTTTTCCACTACCTCAGGCATTTATGTTACCCAAGACAGACAACAATCGTTATCTCAGAACATTAAATCTGTTTGAGCGTAAGAGCAGAAACAACCAGACTCGCCTCTTGGAGACTACATTGAGGATTCCGTCTACTTTACTTATGCGGTACGAACTTTGAAAGTATCTCCCTGTTTCCCGCTAGAATTCCTTTACGGAAAGTCAACACCAAAACCAAAGAGGTAAACAATATGAGTAAAACAACAACTTGCGCAGGCATCTAATTTTTGAAATCACGCCGCAACACAACACCCTACGGGCATTAAAATTTAATAAGTTTCTTGTGACTCTTGTTACATGATTTTGTTCACTTGGATATCTGGCCAGAAGGTCTACCACTTCCTGCACTGATTGCGGGGCAACATAGGCGATCCGCACTATCGACACTTTTGGCTGAGCAGGAGAAAGCTGCGACCGAAGGTGGACTCACGCCTGATGGCAGCCCTCTTCTCCATCCTTCTCCTCAGGTAAGCATAACGAAACTAAACTTGAATCAGAAGACTAACATCTAACCAGGCTTATTATTGGGCGTTCGACATCTACGAGCAAGAAAAGATGGAAAGCGATCCTTTGGCCACCTTGAAGGGAAACCATGACGATCCGAACAAGAGCGATTCCGATGGCTATGTTCTTATATCCATATTGGACGATCTAGCCGCAAAGACCGAGAACGAACGGCAACAATTGCTGAAAGCAGGGAACTTCGGGCCTTGGTTACAAAGTACGTATGGATTAAACAGATCACAAGGGCCCCGAGTTCTTGCGATTACCACGGCACCCTTTTGGAGAGATTTGTGGCGCAGCTACGTTATGACACCTTATGGGGAGAAATACTTTAATTTCACAACTGCGGAGGATATCGCCAGCACGAAGCTGGAAAAAGTAAGTCACGGATGGTCTTTCCAAGTTAGCCTGATACTAATAGTTTTTCTCGTATAGTTGTGGGCGCGAGAAATCGATTTCGTTCTGACATTCGGCAATCGGATTTTCGAGGGTAAAAAGGTGACATCTGCGGACTGGGAAACTGTTCTGGCAGCGATGGAAAAGGGTCCAAGAGCGGATTTCTTGAGGAGACTATTCTTTCCGACCAAGGCAGACCACGAGGATGGCAGTCTGACTGGCCTATTATCGTTAAACCAGAAATGGTTCAACCAGTGGACACTGCCCCGCCTCGCAGGCGACACGTTCACTACAGGTTCAACTCAAGTGAACACCAGACGTCCCGGGTTCTTGACTAATCTTTCCGATGTCGAGTATCATAAAGTTTTCATCAACATGCAACAAAACCCCGGCCTAACCTGCCCCAGATGGTACGCGGGCTCCAGCTAAAACCTTCCCAATGCCTGCTAACAAATATAGGAGTGACTTTGTTCGAACGAACCGACTAATAGCGCATCCTATGAAGAAAGTACTTCAACATGTGATCTATTGGACGGATCAGAGTTTCTCGTACCCCAGATCGTCATCCAACGCCCTGAAAAATTGGGATTGGGTAGAGGAACTAGGAAAGTCCGCCTTTAGAGCAGAGATTAACACACGGCCATGGAGGCATGTTGACGAGGGATCGACTGATATCCTACCAAAGTTTACTATCACTTCTCTCCCAGACCATATCGGTAAATTCATGGAGCAACTTTGGACGTACACCGAGACTGAATCTGGAGGGACGTTACCGTGGTGAAACAGCAGGTATGTCAATCTGCTTTGTGTCCGGAGAGAGAGAACTAATAACTATTTATGATACTGTTAGTTAAAACTACCAACCGATAAAAAGCAGGTAAGTGTAGAGGGCGCCGATCTCGAGGCCATGTATACGTACTTGGCACGCTTTGAGCAAAAGAATTGGGCCGGAGTTGTGAAGTTGGTCGTGGGCTATGCGGGCCCCTGCCTCAGGGGCGAGCTCTCCGCCTATAATGACCTTGACTATTTGGCAAGAAACCTTCACATTTGTTCCATAACTCTCACTAACGGCAACTAGATGAAGAAACTACAAGCGTTTACTTCCTTCGGGCCACTGAACGTGAAAGTTCAGATGGCGGAGAATGCCAAATTTCGTTCAGTGAGGTATCTGACAACACAGGCCATCCGCAACCAGCTGAGTGATGAGACTGAGCTATTTTCCGCCATGTTCTGTTACCGAGAGTTGGAAAAGGTTATGATCAGCACTTTGACGCACAGGTATGGTGGGGGCTCAAAGAGGAGGTCGGAGCAGTTGTCCTTCCTCCTGGACAAGGTTTGTCCGAACTCAGTTGTGTCAGCCCCGATTTCATGATATAAGCTAACTGGAGCCAAGAAAGAGTGGGAGGTTGCCCGGGCAGAGCTTATCGAGTACTCCATGACCTTGAACCGGCGCGGCATCATGGTCAACGCGGACCAACTGAACAAGAGCTTAGAACGCCTAGCTCTCCCCACGCATGCAAACCCGGTCGCTGAGGACGGAGAACCCATCATGGGATTCCTGGAAATGGATCCTGAGAGTTATGGCCTCGAGCAACAGGGAAATACGGAGCGCCTGCAGGAGCTCCTAGCCCGTACATTAGACAAGGAGATCGATAGCCTGTAGTTAAGAGGATTTTTATGTGCTTCTGGGTTAAGGCCTTTCATCAAACTGTATACGGTTTCTCCTATAGAACTCCCGGGCGATGATCATTAGTCAAAGAGGCCCGGTGGGCTTTTTGTAAAGCAAATAATTTAACCTTACCTGTTTGCTAGTAGAACTGCTCTGTTGCGCATGTTGAACAGGTGGCATGTAAGTAGTTTCATTGCAGGATCGGGAGGCGAAGCACTATGATGGGACGTACATGGACCATGAACAAGTCTCCGGCGGATATTGGATGAAGCAGTAAGCTAGAGGATTGGCAGAGCGCAACCTTACTTGAGAGAGGTTGGCTATCTAGCCCAAGCCCACTAGTCAAGATTTTCTGGCAATGCAAAGGGCACCATAGCCATTGAATCTTTAAAGCTGATCTTTGCTCCAGGTTGTTAGCTTTCACTCAAGTTAAGGGCTAAAACCAGGCTGTAGGTTAAATATCACAATACTGACATTCTACAAGAATATTTCTAAAATATATATACTGAGAATTAGACTCGTACACTTTCTCTATAAGATTAAGATATAAAAAAGTAACTAATGCAATTATAAAAAAAAATTTTAGATTTTTAAATATATACTTTTAGTATATTCTTGTTTTATAAAGTTATGAAATCAGATACTTAATAAGATTATTATATAAGAAATAACTCTGAGAGATAAGATTATTAATTATAATTTTATTATATTAAACCTGCAGGTAATCTGTTATATTACTAAATTTATATTATAAATAAACTTACTCAGGCAGTTCAGTTAGATTAAATTTAATTTTAATTTTAATTTAAGCCAGGTATATGTAGGCCTCAGGACTATAGAAATAAATATTAAAAATACTAAATAGAAAGATTTATATATATTCTGTTTAAGTTAGCAGGAAAGACCATGTATATTAAAATGAATATATATATTAGAAGCAGAGTCTAGATGAAGAATAAATAGAATAGTAACTCACAGGCAACTGTTACGGACCCCTGCTAGTTAACCTACTAGTAAGGCGGACTCACCAGGCAGAAAGCGCCGATAAGGACAGCGCTCGGGCAAAACTAAACTGTTATTTAGTATAATTGGGAATTACTATTACGACGCCCGGAACGGCCTCGCACCACGTGATTACGGTATATGAACCAACACATAGTATATAATATACTATCATAGTCTACAACTACTATACTAGTATACGGCAGACCCGATGGTATATAATATAATATATAAAGAATAGAATATATAAGGATATTCTCTTATATACTTAATTAATTCTATTTTTTATACTTAATATTATTATTTTTAAGTAACTATATATTTAAAAACTTAGCTATAAAATACTTATCTGTATTTACTTATAAATAACTGTATAATATTATTTAGTCTTATTTCTCTTCTCTTATCTATAACTTAGTTATTTCTCAGACAGTCATCAGTCAATACCTCCTCAATATAGTTTAATGGTATGTATACCAACAGGGCTAAGCTAACTTGGGCAGGAAAATAATCCTAGAATTTAGTATATTAAGTATCAGTTAATATAAGTATTTACTGTTATAATTATTTATTATATTAATTACTTTAAGCTTATTATATACTCTGCAGCAGGGCTCCAGTGCCTAAGAGAAAAAGCAATTATATATACTAATAATATAAAAATTAATAAATATAATTAATTAGTTATAAGAAAGTATTACTGCCTTGAAGCAGAGAAACCAATTACTTAAAAATTACTTAATAGTTAAATCTATCAAGATCTGACTACCAGAATTATTTAATAGTAACTGATTAAGACTTAAGACTTTCTTAACTTAATTAGATTTATATTTTAATATAAATAAAATAAAGCTTAGAAATAAGATTAATAAGATCTTCTTTATATCTATCTATCTAACCGGGACGGCGTTTAATTGGTTTAAATTCTATATCCATAATTATCAAGAAAAGCCAGTAGGCAAACAAAATAATAATATTAAAAGAATTTTTACTAGTTATACCAGATTCAAGAAATATCTTGAACAAATATTCAGAGATATCAATGCAGTATATAATACTGAATAAAAGCTATAGCAGTTAAAAAAGACTAAATTAATATTTAAGTATATCTCTGAGTTCTTATAAGTTATCAGTTATTTAAACTGAAATAAAGATACTTATATTACATAATTTAAGAAAGAATTTAAGATAAAAATCTAAGAAAAATTTATCTAGTAAAAGTAATCTAGAATATTATAATGAATAATTACAGCAGCAGTCAAGATCAATAATAAATTATATAAATATAATATAAAATAGAAAAAAGACTGATAGACCAGTAAATCTATATTTTAATAAAATAATTAACAGAGCTATTAAACTAATAATAAATAACCAGCATAGTCTAAAAGTCTGGAATATAAAGATTTCTACAGACTAAAATTAATAAAGCTAGATGCAATACAGTATCAGATTTGATAAAATAGAGTATCTAAGGAGAAACTTAAAAGATATAAAAAAAATTATTTATATTTTAACTATAGTAAAACAGATTATTAATTAAAAAACTATAAATAATAATAGTAACAGTCTCAGAAGCAGCTGAGGGCCATAAATAAAAATTAATTAAAATTAAATAAAAAGACTAAAAAAGTCTATAATACCAGTATCAGATTAACAGGAATCTGAATAGAATTTATAATACTACTATAAAATAGCAAGAAGCTACGAGCTATATAATAAAAATAATTATTAATATCAGTTAATAGAATATATTAAGATTAGTTAAGATAACAGATCATAATAAATAAATTAATAATATTATTAGAGTAATAAGAAATCTAGAATAAGGCTTACTAACTTTATAAATTATTTAATTAATTAATAGAGTTTAAAAGTAATAAACCAGTTCTAGAGAATAAATATTCTAATATAATTTAGAATAAATTTAATCTTCTAGATAAAAAGTACAGTACTTAAATAGAAAATCTTAAATCCAGTAAGAAGAGATCTATTAATATATTAAATATTCTAGAAAAATCTCTATCAGAAAATAATAAAAATTGTCTGATATAATGAGACAGTAACAAGGAAAACCAAGAACCAGATAAAAATAATATTATATATTAATTAGATAGAGTTATCATGGAATACTGAATAAATCTGATATAATTCTGTATTAAGCTGAAAAGACTCATGTAATATTATTTATATTAAAATCTTAAATATTAAGAAACATGGAATAAGATATAAAATAAATATTTAGTAAGATATTCTACTTATTTAAAAATATATAATCACTGCAGATATAATAATAAGAATTACTATTAGTAACTGCACACAGTTAATTAAAAGAAGAAAGTATTCAGAGTATACCCACAGTATAATAATCCAGAATATATATATATATATTTTAAAAAAAATTCTAGATATAAGAGATATGATAAGCTCTTTTAGATTTTATATTATATTAATATATACTCCACATATTATAATTAGAAGTATATCGCAGGGTACAGACCCGAAGTATTAAATATAATTAAAATTAAATAAAAATACTATTTATATTATAATCTAAACTGTTTATATATAGGATACCAATAACACCCATACTACGAATTCATGCATTAGCTAGCGTGTTATGACGACCAGTATATAGCATATTATACTACAAAAATTGAAGAATCAAGATTTCCAAGAAAATCATTTAAATAAAATAAATTTAATTAACCAGAATAGTAATTAGTAGCTATTAAATCAAGAAAATACTTAAAAGTCCAGGTAACTGTATTAGATTAAACAGTTTAAGTACTGGTAGACTCTGGTATAATCAAGAATTATATATATCTATAATTTATACAACAACTTGGGATACTCAGAAAACAAAAGACAAAATTAGAACTGATTACAGAACTAAATAAAAAGAATCTAGAAATTCTTATATTAATAGTTAAATTAGGAATTGTATCTATAGCTGTAATAAATTATTTTAAATATATAGATTTCGACGTGATACCACTAGAACAGTATAATATTATATTAGAGATTTTATAACTCAGAAATCATAATTCTCAGATTAATTGAAGGACTGAGAATCTTTAATTTATAAACTATAATTATCTAAGATAATAATAATAAGAACTAGATATAAGATCTAGATTTATATAATCTATTATATAGTATAAGACTGAAGCAAGGACTAAGTAATCTATAAAAAAATTAAAGATATTATAAAGATCTAATATACCAGATACTGTAGAAAATATAGAGAAAAGTAGCATCTCAGATATTATAAAATAAATATTAACAGTAATAAAGCTATTATAGATTAATAAACTAATATATTTACTGGAATAAGCACCGGATATACTATAAGAATATTATAAATTATATTTAAATAGTATTAACAGAAATTAAAATTATATATACCAGATTATGAAGCTAGGGAGCCAGGCCTAAGAACCTAGATCTAGTAATATAAATTAAGAAATTTAGAATAAATAAAGATCTGAGTATAATAATACAGAATTAAAATATTTATAAAAACTCTAAGCTGTGGTTAAAAGTAATCTGTATATTCTATTATAATATAAAAGATTTAAGAATCTGTTTAAACAGCTGGAATAATCTGAATTATCTTAGTATAGAAAGCACGACTATACTATTTCTCTTTAGAAAAAAAAAAACTAAGATACAGAAAGATATACCTAATATCAGAAAAAAAATTACAGATATTACAGAATTATATTAATAATTAATTAATAAAAGATAATATTAGACTATTCAAGTTATCTATAAAATATAGAATTCTATTTACAGCTAAGAAAGATAGAATCTTATAATTATATATAAATTATTAATTATTTAATATCTTTATAATTAAGAATTACTACCTGCTATTCTTAATCTCAGAAATCCAGAACAAGATACAAGGGATAAAATAATTTACTAAACTTAATATTACAGATATATATTACTATATATATATTATAGAAGAAGAAGAGTGGAAAACT